CCTGGGTGGCTCCGTCACTCTCTGGTGTTACCTCGTTCTGTTGAGCTTTGTAAATCTACACCTCTTTGGAGAGTCCTGATTGGAGGAGGCGTTGTAAAGAGCGTGCTGCTGTTGATCATGACACACTGTGGGTTGGAGTACACACTGTGGGTTGGAGTACACCTGTGGGTTGGAGTACACACTGTGGGTTGGAGTACACACTGTGGGTTGGAGTACACACTGTGGGTTGGAGTACACACTGTGGGTACGTGCCCAGGCTTCTTAGGTTAGTCTGTTACAGACCTGCCTGCAGTCCAGATCTGTCTCCTGTTGATTATACCTGGTCCGTCATGGAAAGTGGAATCAGACGTTGGTAACAGTCATAGATGTTTTTCTGATGTGTTTGTTTTGTGCTTGTTTATGATGAGTCTGTCTCAGAGCCTAATGAACCATGAGGCGTTCTGGCAGCAGCCAGTAATTGCTTGGCACCCAACAGTGAGAGGGTAATTAGAGAGACACGGGGGAGTATATGACTCCGTGACTGGTACCGTTTAACGATAATGGGGTTGAAGTCCACACGACTGTGGTCAACAAATCACACTGGACTGGCCTGGGCAGCTCGCCGTGCAAACGAACCGTGCCTGGAATACTGAGCAGTAGCTCGCCCACGCAGCCCCGCGCCCGTCGCTCCGTGGGGATCAGATCATAAGATTATGGCTTTGACCCTGCACCACCTGCAACATTGTTATTAGTGACGATGGCTTTGACCCTGCACCACCTGCAACGTTGTTATTAGTGACGGACAGGTTTAATGGTAATAAATAACTCTTCAGTTGCACCACGGTGTTGTCAAAGATCAGTACAGTCAAACAAACAAATATGCTAGAAAAAAAGTCAGCAAGTCGTTTCAGAAGAGAACGTTTTCTCGGTCAATTTTCTCTTTCTAGCTGTTCATCTGTAGCCAACACTCACACACGGCCTCTCTTACTGTGGTTTTCTGACGTGTTACACCACATTTGTTGTGTTCTGTAGCCTGTAATTAGATTATCACAGTAAACAAACTCATTCTGAATCAAAAACGTATGAGGTCTACGGTACAATCTCCTTGAGGTGAGTGACATTCAACCAGGGCGGAAGAAATCACCAGAAGATGGTGCAAAAATCAACACAACGTAAACTTTTTGTTTAAACTCTAAAATGAAAGGAACACGCCCTCTATTGATCAACATCGTGTCCTGCCGATCAAATGTGAGCATGTCACTTTAAGAAAAACCTCGGAAGTGACATGTTGGTGACGTAGTCAACGGTCACAGCCAATCAGATCTTTGTTGTCAACGCGTCGACGTTGTTGAGTTTGATTCAATTTACAACAGGAGCAAAGAACTGGATTTGACTTTAAACCTGCGTGAAACGTTCAAATATGGCTGCCGTCGGTCAAATAGATGTTTTACGAGAGCGAAACAAGGTTTTAATGAACCAACTGAAGGAGCAAAATGAGAAACTGGAGCGGTTGCGGGTTCACATGCGGAGCTGGGAGAGAGACGAGGAGGGCGAGGCAGAGCAGAGAAGAGAGGCCGAAGAGGTGACGACACTGGCCGGTGTAGACCGCCGTCCTGCCCGGACAGCTCTCTCCAAACCCACCGTCAGACTTTCAAGTAATGAAAACATCCAGATGATGTCACGTGTACCGGAGAAGTCCGGGCTGCATTCATGTGTTTATAAATGAGTCGGTTATTTTTAATGTTCAAAACGTTGTGTTGTTAATGTGAAGGTTTTACTAACAACATCCTGTGACGTGTACTTTGTTACAGTGTTACAGTACAGTGTGAATAGCTCGATGTTTTCACATCATCTTCTTCACTGAACTGAGGACCAGTGTGAACTTTGTTCTTCTTTCTGGTCTAGATACATGTGGCGAACAAAGAGACAACCAGCGGGAAGCTTCAGCAACACGTCCGACCTCCGGACACCAGGAGACCGACCCACCCTCAGTCTGTACCCACGGTGTTCCGGACTCACTCCAGGGGACCGGGTCCAAAGGCCTGAAGTCCTGTCTGGTAAAGAACGACAAAGATCAGGTGAGTGGAAGAACCACGGTGACGTTACAGTAACAGTGAGTAACAGTGAGTAACAGTAAGTCAACAGTATTAGGATCAAATCAGTCCAATCAGAAAAGAGACCATCAGTTTTTTTGTTTTGTTTTTTGTCTCCGTATTTTGAACATGTGTTTTCCTCTAGTTTTAGATGAAATTAAGAAAAAATGATAAGAGTTGGAGGTGGCGCTGTTAAAGCATCCAGTACACCACTGTACTACAGTACACCACTGTACTACAGTACACCACTGTACTACAGTACACCATGTGACATACTGTCGGAGTACTTTACCAGTATTTTTAACAATAACTTTGAATAAGTCGACCTGGATGAAGATGGTTGGTTAAATGACTCATGTTGACGTGTCTGTAGAAGGAGGTCCATCGTCGAGTCACCTTTCAGTCTGATGATGAAGGAGACTCCTCATCAGAGCGTGGGGTTCATCAGGTCAAGCCCTTACTTGGATATGATTGGATCGCAGGTACTGTCAGCTGGTCCCTCTGTTCACACCTGTGACATTCAGAGTCATGAAGTTCCAAACGGGTGACGTGGTCTTTGTTCCTCCAACAGGAGTCCTGGATTCTGAGGACACACTTACAAACCAGCCGGACCAGTTCTTTGACGACCTGCGTGTTTTCCGATCGCTCCATAAAGACGAGTGTGTCCACAGGAGGACAGCAGAGTAAGACTTCCTTCTTCATTCCACTTTCTTTACTTCACTCTTTGTAAACATCTCCCTTTCTCTCACAGACCGTCTGAGACGAGCCGGTCTGGGCTGGAAACAGAGAAGGACGAGCCTCAGCCAATCAGAGACACTCATACATGTAGGAGAGCAGCACTGTTCTTCTACTTTTGTTTTTTAAATTCCAACTGGAGAAATAAACAACCTTTATTTTGTCACTTCCTGTTCAGGTACATTTTCCTACAGGATCAACAGCAGACTGTTTCCAAGTCCACTCCACTCACAGGAGCGCTGTCCAGGCTGTAAAAAACACAAGTCCTCCCACCCCCACTCTGCTGCGGAGCCGGCTCTGATCAGGTGATCGTGACGGGAAACTATTTCACTGTTCAAATTTAACAGAAAAAAAGAGAAAAAATATATATACACACACACACATAAATATGAATTAGTAACCGTTTGCTCCTCAGACACAGAAATATAAAACATATTTGAAGTCCAAATGTTGGGACATAAACTAGGACTTAATGATGAGAGAAAATCACAGCTGTGATTCTCTTTAGGTTGGACTGACTTTTTGTTCTTCTCTCTCCTCGTCCCTCAGCGTCAGCCTCCCCCGCTCCGTACTGCTGCCCCCGTACGAGTACAAACCACACAGGAGGGGCAGTTTTGACCCTTCAGACAGTTTGGGGTTACCGTCGGTGAGAATCCCCCCCCCCGCCCCCTTTTGTCTCTGTCTTGTTTTTTGTTGTTGTTGTTGTGCAACTTTTGAATGATGTCGATCAGAGGTCAAGGTCAACAGTCTTGATAGATTGCACCAATAGTTTCTAGAATGTTCAGACAGAATTGTTAAAATTGTAATAGAATTCTATGGATTTTCTCTCAACCTTCAGTTGTTATTGACCTTTGACCTCTGTCATAAACGTGTCCGTGTTTGCTGTGTCCGATGTTTTGTTCTTGGTCGTTACAACCTTCACGTGGATCAAATCCCTGTTTTCCAGCACTGTCTCTCTGGTTGGTCACATATGGCCCAGAGCACAGCGCCACCACCCAGCAGCCTGGATCTGCGCAGCAGTCTTAACACACAAACCTGTGCACAGGCTCTGAACCAGGAAGTACAGGTGAGACCAGTCAGATATTAGTACTTTGTGTTGTTTTGTATTGTTTCAGGACTGATGGCAGGACTGTATTATTCTTCCAGGATTCATCCGTCTTTAAAAGGCCCACAGACCAGATGTTGAATCTATCAAAACTGGCACGGCACAACTTCCAACACTTCTCTCCAAAAAGGAGAAGAAACTAGAAAGTCAGCTGACAACCAGGTCTATTTTGACCAATGCTGACTCAGCATGTTTACAGCCAGAATCATCGTCAGGACGGTTCACTGTTTGACTTTCACTTTCTTCAGTTTCATGTCTGACAGAGACTTTTTGACTTCCTCTCACTGTTCTCCGTTGCTTAGAGACGTTCGGTAGTGTTTCCCGTTCCAGACTGTGGTCTCCAGAGTCCACCGAAATTCTGTTTTCAACTTCCTCACTGTGACTTGAACTTCTGCAGAAAAGCCGCGCCGTAGTTTCATCGAACAGGAAACCCACAGGTGGCTTCGGAGATATCAGGCCGTGTTGACGTTTTACCGGTGACAGCAGTTTTCCTGTCTTCCTGTCGTCTCTCTGACTGATGGTGTTTGAAGATAAGTGATGATGTCACCTGTCTGTCAGCAACAACAGGAATGACAGGAAACTGTTCCATCGTCATCAGTCAACTATGAAAGTGACAATAACAATTATGATAACTGATGAGGAACAGGAGGAGGCCCAGAGTTGGTACGGTGGAGAAGTGGGTCAGAGCTGGTTTGATGACATGAACACAGACGCTGAGGACGTGGGAGGGGAAACTTCACACTGACAAGTCAGCAACTTCTGCAGAAACCAGCGGGTGGCACACACTGGTACTGATACTGAGCTGGTACTGAACTGGTACTGAGCTGGTACTGAACTGGTACTGAACTGGTACTGAGCTGGTACTGAACTGGTACTGAACTGGTACTGAGCTGTTACTGAACTGGTACTGAGGTGGTACTGAACTGTTACTGAACTGGTACTGAGCTGGTACTGAGCTGGTACTGAGCTGTTACTGAACTGGTACTGAGCTGTTACTGAACTGGTACTGAGGTGGTACTGAACTGGTACTGAGCTGGTACTGAG